TATGCCCTGTCAGCTCTCGCGGGCTTTGTGTGTCATCGACTTCTCCGATCCGAGCCCTCAGCAATTGTACAAGTGGCTCGAGCAACCCACCCAAAATTGTCGCACTGCCGGAGAAATTATCCCCCAGAGGGGCGGCCAGAGCACGTGTTGAGTGAACACACAACAAAAAGGGAGAAAGCAAACTTTTATTTGATACGTTTTTGATTTGCGTCGTCAGACAATGTCAATGTCTATCCGTGTAGCTGTCGCCGGCTGGGGAGCCCTTCTCTCACCCGTTGGAAACAATGACAGTGCCACGAGGCGACTGGAGACGGGAGACGGGAGACAGGAGACAGCAGCCAGAGGACAAACGACAGGACCCTGGCGACAGACAAATGCGCCAAAGTCTCAAGTGCATCATGACACGTGAGTTTTTTGCTGAACATTTTCGGTTGAGTTTTTGGTAATTTGATTTCCACGCTGAGATTTGCCAGCGGAGGAAGGGGGCGGCAAAGCGGCGCCAAAGTTAACGCTACATTTGATGCCAATGGCAAAACAAATGCGGTAACGTGTGAGGAATTTTCAAGTTTTCCTTTGGAAAATGCTCCTTGCCTTTCTGTTGGCCTCCTCTCACCTGCCGCCAGCGGAAGCCACGAGTGTATAATTTTGCATATTTTATTCTGTGGGCTAATAGAAAATTTTCGATTTGATTTTTCTTATTTTTGGGGAAATAATTGGCTGTAGAATTGTACACAATTTGTTTTGCCATCGGATTTCGTGGGTTATACCTTTTCCCGAAATGGGGACAATGTTAAATTTTTGGTCTATTTTGTTACATCTGAGGGATGGGGTGGATAATGGAAGGATGGGATAAGCATTGAAGGGTAAACGCACACAAATCTTTCTTTTCGATCACAGAAAGATCACACTAGAGTATCGGTTAAAGGAAGATATCGTATTATGGTATCGATAGGGGTGCCATGGGATGGGTTAGGGTACCATTTGCCTTACCGCTCAATCTCAGTTCAAAGTCGCCTTGCGAATGATGGGTCTTAATCTATATGTCTAGGGTATTCAAAACTTTGACAAGCACTAGTTAAATGTTCATTTACTCGAGTTGATTTGGCAATTTGCATGTGCTTTCATTATTATTTATTATTGTTGTTGAGAATGTCCTTAAAAAGTCGAGTACATCTTGCGGAGCTTCACCGAAAAGTTGGCCTCTTTTGCTGACTCTTCTTGATTTATAAAAACAAAAGCACGAAAGGAAGTATTCACATCATTCATATCTTATATCATAGATGTAGATCATCTTCTTTTGAATACTATCCCTTATGTCCCTATCCTCATTAATTCATTCCCGTTGAATCCCATTAAGGCGTCTCTCTTCTTAGAGTATTCCTTAATTCGGCTGTCCAAATATTTGATCGTCTCGTTTTCACTTTCTTTTTGGTATTTGTTGGGAAAACTGCGCACGTATTTGTCGTTTCCATTACAGTTTGTGCTGATTTTGATTTGCTGCCTGCTGCCTGCCCTTGTGCTGGGCTCCTGCTCTGGCCCCAGGACTGTCAGTCAATCTCAAATTCACTCAATCAGTCAGGCCAGGCAGTTTCAGTTAGTCATTGCGTCAACACTTTGCCAGCTGCCAGGTGGATGGAGGGATGTAGGCAGCGAGGGCGGACTGGTTGGCCAACACCTGCCACGCCCCCACATTTTCGGTTATATGTTTTGTTCGAGTCACGTTTGTTGCTGCTGGAAAATCCCATTTTTTTGTTGTGTTTGTAGCCCGTCGTTTTCCGACTTATGACTTTTGTTGCCAGCTTTCGCTCTCGTAGGCAATTTCTATCCACCCCATGTGGGTGGGGGTGGGGGCGGTGAGCAGGTGTGAGCGTGGGCGTGGCGCATTTGTCATACTCAAATTTAAAATTCAATTTACTTGCGTCATAAATTTAATAGCACAGCCCCAGGCCCCACAGAGCGGCACAAATGTCAGTTGACGGGGGGCTCGAAATGCGTGGAGGGGCTCTCCATCAACCAGAAGGGTTATCCATAGGCAGTTGTACTCCTGCGAGGGCGAGGGCTGTACATTAGCCTGGATATGTGGCGAACATATCGTAAAAAAGTGATTGGCTTGGATCACTTTGGAATATTTGATTGGTGGAAATCAGCGGAAATGAATTGAATCAGAAGTGAGCATAAAACCCAAAGGGGAATCTAGAACTCAACACATATAATTTTAAAGAAGAAAAACCCTATAAAATGGGGAAGCAGTTTCGCACGTTTTATGCACTTTCAAGTGGATTCCACAACAAAAAACATTCCCCTCTTTTCAGTGCTCATTAGGCACATATCTATATGTTCAACATGGTAATTGCTAAGCTTGTTAGATGTTTACAAGACTTTTAATCCACACACACACAAAGCAGCAAAAACATATTTGGAGAAGAGAAGAGCAAATCCAAGTCCGACCGACCTCGAGGCGTATACGTAATATGCTAAACAAAAGTGCGCCAATTAGAAGGAAAATTCTCTCTCTCACAACTGAAAATGTGCTCGCCCAACCGCAAAAGCCAGAAAGTTGATTTCTTAACAAAACTCCCTTTCCCCCTTACCATTGCCCCCAAAAAATTGGGGGCGAGACCACAGAACGCCCAAAATGTCAGCCGGAGACAGTCGACGAAGTCGTAGGAGAGCTCTCTCTCTTTAGGAGTCAAAGCCAAAAAATTTTGCTGCAGCATTAAGCCCAAATGAGTATGAGTGTGTGTGTGTGTATGTGTGTGTATCTATGTTTTAGTGGTTGTGCAAGAGAGTGTGTGTGTGTGGGAGTGTGGTGTCAGTAACTTGTCTACTTGTTGTCTGTATCGTGTGGCAGTTTTTTGGGCACTGGGAGGAGCCCCAACCTTCGGACACATACGAGAATAGCAGTGGACGAGTGCACGAGGGTACGGGTAGGAGTATGTATGAAAAAGATGAATGCATTTCAAATGAAGACAGCAAGAGGCAGGTCAAAAAGAGAATGCCCTTAACCAAAAATGGTGTACCTCTGACATGGGCATGCGGCTTGCACTCTCATTCTTCCATGGACAGAACATGTTTCCAATGTGATCATAGCTATTATTCAATGCCTGTTTTTATATATTATAGATTATTCACAGAATAGAATATTTTTCTAATGAAGCTGCCCCGGATTATAGCCTTTTCTTTAGGCATAAAACGACTTTCTTTAATCAAAAATATGATTGTTTTCCTTATAATGAGGGGTGATTATTTCAATGGGAGTTGAAGAAAAGAAATAAGATATTAGTGGTAGAGATCCCATTGAAGGCCAATCAATTCCTTATTATTCAGACCTGGACAGAGCACCTAATCTTCGCTTCAATCCACTGGGAATAGTTGTGTGTGGTTCGCGTTGCCTTTCGTGTTATACATATTTATATTTGATGTACATTTTGTGGTTTTGGCCAGAGTTGTAAACCCAATGTTGGAGAGGAAGTTGGAGGGGAAGTAGGAGGAGGTGGCCGAGTGAAATATTCTGATTTGCGTCTTGTCACGCAGAAATAAAGCTAAAGTCCATTTTAATTGAGTTTTTCTGATGTTGCAAAATGCTTTTCGCAAAATTTATGACAGCAGAGAGCTCTGCACCGAGCAGAGTGGGGAGAACCCCAACCACACCGAACCGAAACGAATAAAACTGAACTGAACTGAACCGAAGCGTATGAATGTCGTAATAAAATGCAGTTTTAGCCATTTTGTCACATGAATTTGATTTCATTTAGATTTGGATTCGGCTTATGCCAGGCAGCATACTCGTACGCCAGGCAGGCAGCAGGCCATATCAAATGAAACGAAATGAAATGAAAGGAGATCTGAATGCGGATGAAATGGCATGGAATCTGTGTGTGTGCGGCTCAAAATTTGATGCTCGAATGTGGAAATGTGGCAGTTAAATTGAGCAGAGACACCGTACATATATTTTCATGGAAATATGGAGAAACTTTTTCTTCTGCCACGATAGTCTGCTCCTTCCACCACTTCACTTCGCCACCAGAATCCATATCCTTCTTCCCGGCTGGGTATGACAAAGTTTTCCCCGTCTTGTTCTTGTTCCTTGCACGTGCACCGTTTGATATCAAAGGAAACAACTGGCAAGATTTCCAGCAGCAGATTTGCCAGTACTCGGAGCAGACCCCGTGCCGCCTTTACCGCCTTCAATTGAAAGACGGCGGCTGCTTTTAATGTTTCTGTTTTTCCGTTGCTTCATTTTTATGATACCCTTGCAGCGGGTAATACGATTTTGGCTCGTACTCCATGAGCTCTTTGTATGTTTTGTAGCACTTCCAACAGCCGTGTCCTTCTGTTCTTCTGTGAACTTTTTAGAGTCCTTTTTCAAGTCTGATCAGATCATCATAAACACTATCGACATTCAAGTGTATCAAAAGCATCGGTCCTCGAATCTCTTATTCCCATCTTGTTTTTATTTTCCTTTTGATTTCGCCCGCGGCTTTTTCTCGGCCCTCCCTCTTTCTTCTTCAGTTCGGCGCGGAAAATCTGCGTAATCAACGGCAGTCGGGTGGCAGGAAAAATAAGTTTTGCCGCAAAAATAAATAAATAAATAACATTTTGTATAATAAAATGCAGGCGTACTGCCGCAGCAGGGGAAGTGGGGTGGTGGTGTCGGGGTAAACAACAGGAAGCATAAATTTTGTTATTTTTGCCAAGGATGGAGAGAGGGAGCCCGGCCAAAGCAGAGGGTACGTACTAGAGGATGCTGGTCGAACCATTGATGTGATTAGGCCATTCGCCTGGACGGAAATTGTTTAGTTTGACAGGATGCTCGGCTCGAAATGAAATCACGTGTTTTGTGGTCAGCATTCAATTTATGTACGATTTAAGGTAAGATTAAACCTTTAACTACAACTTTTTATAGCAAGGATTGGAAATATCGGATACAAACCTAGGTTTTGATTTTTAAATTAAATATTAATTTTATGTTTTTTTATGTTTAATTATGTATATTTTAGGTTACATACTCCCGGATAAGCGGCCCTGGGCTTTAAACTTCACGTTCCGGGTCCTGCGCCGCTCTTGTAACTATCCCATTTCAAATCAGTTGACGCACGCGCCCCCTTTTTGAACCGTGGACCCCCTAGGCGGCCTTACCCATTTGGGTGCTGCCGGACCGATACTGCATCCACGATCGCGTGCATCGCGCCAGCAGCTGGTTCACCTTCACTTTTTACGAGGTACGACGTACGTGCTTCGCAGGGGCTTACATTACCGACATCGTCTTCCGTCTGCACCATGCTTTAACTCTTACCCGATCAAGTAACGTTAATAAGTTATAATTTATTCATTGACTTTATTTAACACTTTCTTTCAGCCCCCTCCGGTGGCCAGGAATACCTCTTGCGTGCTCGCGGATATGCCCAACATCGTTTACCAGCTTCACCGTTCTGGTCTTCCGGTTCATATGAGCGAGTGTGCGATCGATGACGACTGACCACTCCCGGCGCCTGACCGGCTGACATCTTTGGCCATCTGTGGCCTTTGACTCGCTCGCCATCGGCACATCCTCCGCGGGTGATTCCGTTTTTCTTGGCTAGTCCAAGGAAAGTGTTCCTGGCTAGACTGTGGCAGCCACTGGCTGTCCTGCTGCGGGCCGATGTGGCGACAATGTGGCGTCCAATTTGCTGCAGCAAGGACCAGTGATCGCCGGCGGAATTGTTGGTTCACGCCCATTCATATGCAGCCGAATCAAACGATGGGCTTCGGCTTTGAGACGCGTAAGTGAATCAGTATATAATTGTGGACATATTTTAAATGATATCTTCCTTCACAGATTACTCACACACATTCATACCCTTCGCTTTGCGACAAACCGAGTCGTGTCCGCCAGACGCAGTACTATGAAAGTATCCAAGCCAGACAGAAGCGAATACCAGCCGGACGGAAGCGCAGCATCGTCATCCTTTGCCCTTGCCATCGACAGCGTGGACTTTGACTATGGCAACCAAGGGAGGGAGAACGCGGGGCTACTAGACTCTAGGTGGATATCGTTGTTGTAAGGTGTAAGGATAGACGCGTCCATATATAGTACAGAAAAAACCATTATTCTACTGATGTGCAAATCCAAATTTTCGGAAGGCCATATCTCAGAAAAATAAGGCCAGATCAGTGCAGGACCAAGTCTCCCAGGATCGTGAGAATCCAGACTGTCGAACTGCATCAAAATCTCGACTATGAAAATGAGGTCGATTTTTGGCAATTTTAATGATGTAACCATCATGATTTTTTGCGAAAATCGTGAGGAAATGGAAGTCCCTTTTTCCGATGGCAGTCGATTGGCAGTACTCTCCCGATCACGAAAAGACATGCCGCACTCCGATCGGCTGCCGGATAGAAGAGATATAGCGTGCAGAAAACCCAGTATTCTAACGAATCCAAATCTTCAGAAGGCTATATTTCAGACAAGTAGGGCCAGATCGGTGCAGGACCAAGTCTCCCAGGATCTTGAGAATCCAGACTGTCGAACGGCATCAAAATCTGGCCATCGACAAGAAGGACTTTAACGATGACAATCAAGGGAAGGCTACGCGGGCGACTAGACTCTAGATAGATATTGCTGTTATTAGGTTTAAGGATATACGCGTCCATATATTTAGATAGAAGACACAAATATTTTCTAGTTGTTTATTTATTTATACTAAGCTAAGTTATGATGAATAAAACTATTGAAAAATCATCCTTGCTGTATCCTGTATGGGGTAAACTAGCCCAATTACAAAATGACGTTCCACACCAAGATTGGTTTACAAAGCGCAGAAAACTAAATATTTCTGATTGGGGAAAATGTCCTTGATCCTTGAAAAGGACTTCATAAATTCAGAGACTTTTCTGATCCCATGAAGCCGTCGCACGCCTAGATCGGCCCAAAAATAGCGGAGAAAAGGATTATTTTTGATCCTTGATATCATTGGTCCTGGAAAAGGACTTCATGCCGATCACAGGAAGCCGTCGCACGCCCAGATCGGCCCATAAATAGCGGAGAAAATTAATATTTTTGATCCTTGATATCCTTGGTCCTTGAAAAGGACTTCATAACATCAGGGACTTTTTTCTGATCACAGGAAGCCGTGGCACGCCCAGATCGGCCCAAAAATAACGGAGAAAACAAAACGGGCTTCTAACTGGTTTTAAAAATGTAGTTCCCGAAATCATCGATTGGGGCGCCACCGTACAACAAAAAGAAAACTCGCGTCGGCCAAAATCTGGATGGGATACCAGGCCAACAGAAATCAGCAGAAGGTCGCTGATTTTTTTTTTTAATTTTGATCCCCCAAAAGTATGCACCAGTTTTTGATTTTCCTACAGTTGCTTGCTGCTGATTTCTGTTCCCCTGGTATCCCATCCAGATTTGTTTTCCAATTTTGTTTTCTCCGTTATTTGTGGGCCGATCTGGGCGTGCCACGGCTTCCTGTGATCAGAAAAAAGTCCCTGATTTTATGAAATCCTTTTCAAGGACAAAGGATATCAAGGTAACAAATATTAATTTTCTCCGCTATTTATGGGCCGATCTGGGCGTGCGACGGCTTCCTGTGATCAGAAAAACGTCCCTGATTTTATGAAGTCCTTTTCAAGGACCAAGGATATCAAGGATCAAAAATATTAATTTTCTCCGCTATTTATGGGCCGATCTTGGCGTGCGACGGCTTCCTGTGATCAGAAAAACGTCCCTGATTTTATGAAGTCCTTTTCAAGGACCAAGGATATCAAGGATCAAAAATATTCATTTTCTCCGCTATTTATGGGCCGATCTGGGCGTGCGACGGCTTCCTGTGATCAGAAAAATGTCCCTTATTGTATGAAGTCCTTTTCAAGGACCAAGGATATCAAGGATCAAAAATATACATTTCCTCCGCTATTTATGTGCCGATCTGGGCGTGCGACGCCTTTCTGTGATCGGCATAATGTCCCTGATACTATGAAGTCCTTTTCAAGGACCAAGGATATCAAGGACTAAAAATATGAATTCTCTCCGCTATTTATGGCCCGATCGTGACGCGCTACGGCTTCCTGTGATCGCAAAAATGTCTCTGATTTTATGGAGTCCTTATCAAGGACCAAGGACTTTTTTCCAGATATAAATATCCTGCTTTCTCCCTTATTCTCGGCCCGATCGAGGCGTGCCATAGTCCGCTGTGATCAGACAAATTCTTGATCATTCGGTAAGGACTTCAAAAACCCCAACTTTACATATGTATTTAGCTTTCCCGGCTATTTGTGGGCCGATCTGGGCGTAAGATGGCTTCCTGTGACCGGAAAAATTTCCCTGGAATCCATATCAAGGATCAAGGACATTTTCCCAATAAAAAATCTTAGGCCTTCTCTTTAATCGGGATAGTTTTCCCGTTACAGGATACAGCAAGGATTTTTTTCAATAGTTGTATTTATTATAACTTGGCTTACTATACATAAATAAACAAGTAGAAAACATTTGTGTCTTCTATCTAAATACATATATGGACGCGTATGTATGTACATATATCCTTAAGCCTAAGAAGATTACTTCCTATAGGCGTGAACCAACAATTCCACCGTCGATCACTGCTGCAGCGGATGGGACGACTCATCGATAAGGCAACGGCATCATGACAATGGCCCACAGCAGGACGGCCAGTGGCTGCCACAGTGCAGCCAGGAGGGGCACCCAAGAGGTATTCATGGCCACCGGAGGGAACGACCTACTAAAATGAAATTAAGAGTTTAATAAAGTAAATGAATAAATAATAACTTAATAACATTACTTGGTGTGGTTAAAGGGGGGGATCGCGGCATAGCAGTTTCTGCCAGAGAGGGTCTCGGCCAATAGAGCTGAGGGAATACAAAATTAAAGAAGAAAAACCAAAAAAAAAAAAAAAACAAAAGAGCAAACAAGGAGAACTTACCCTGTGAAAGGCGATAAGGTAAAGCATGTTGCAGGAGGAACCAGGAGGAGGTACGTCGTTCCTTAAGTCCTTTCCCGGATAAATGCCAGTCTCTGAGGAGTAGAAGGCTCCACTATTCTCAATGATTCTTATAAAATTCATTATAACTTTAGCTCACTCTCGGTTGAACCCGTTTTAATCAAAATATCGAACTACGAGTATCTGCATGTTATCCTCCCAATCGGCAATTCAACTCCCAACAGCAACTCCCCGGCACATTTGCCGGAATCAATATGCAATATCCCACAAGAAACGGATTTCAAACTCTCACTCAGAAAAACCCACCACAGAGAGAGACAGAAAGACAGAGAAAACGAGAGGAGCAATCATATCGATAGAGAACTGGCTGTCATAAAAGCCACACACAAAAATTGTTGGCTGGTAGTATCAAGAGGGAGCAGGGAAAAGCACAAAACTAGGTTAGTTGCCGAGATTTGTACCTCCTCTCCGTAACCCCGCACACCTTTCTCCACCGCTTTCTCACCCTCTAAAAACAAAAATAACAATTGCAGTCCCTAACCACCATGCCCATGCCCATCCGTTCCGTTCCTGTCTCTGCCAATGCATTTCAAAACAGAAGCTGCCGAAGAAGCGAATCGGTAAAGGCGTTGGCGCGCCCCCACCGCCCCACCACCATATCTGTCAAGTGAACTGGAAGTGATACGGATACAGAGCGGCAGCGGCAGCGGGAGCAGTAGAGAGAGACATCGAACGCTGAGCGTGTTCACGTGCAAAATTGCAACGATTCCCAAGCGAGTTTCGGCTTCCCCATCCCCTTGTTTTTTTTTTTTTGGCTGTTCTCAAAACCGAATTCGCTGGCTTGGGATTGTGTGTTTGCGTATACTTATGGGCGGTAGTGTAACACGAGTTGCCTTTGGAGTGTGATCGATGATGGTGGGTGGGAATGGCAGCAGGCAGTTGGCTGCCAAGGATTTTAATCAGCTGTTGTCGCTCCTGATGATGTCCAGGCAACCGAAAGCCGATCGACTGCGGCGACTGCGTCGACTATCATCCAGCATCGATGAGGGATTGGAGCATTCCCCTGGCCAGCCAGCCATATATCTTACGCACACAGGGAGGCACAGATGCACACGCTTTGTGCATACGAAGTCAGATATTGCGATCTACCTAAAAGATGGCAAGATGAAACTCAGTTTAGAGGATTGGCAGGGATTATAGCGATAAGTGTGCTGGGATCCACAACTACCTATGACTATAGGCAGGAATATTTGAAAAATCTCCAGCACAAGGGGAATATGTAGGCGAATTCAAACTTTTTTGAATAATTACCTCATTCCTTATTGGTATATTCTTCCATCTTCCCGCATAAACGCATACAAATTTCTGCAATCCCCTAGGCCTGGGTCGCATCCGTTTCCGTTTCTGCTCCCTTGTATCTGGTAGGATGAGCAGCAAATGGAATCTTATCTGTCTCTTTCTTTCTCCATTACCTTCTCTCTCTCTCTCCCTCCATCTTTCTGGCCACAGATTGTTTGTCCACAGTGCAGTGCCGCTAAATTGTTTGTCTTCTGTGTGTAAGGGGTGTGCATGGGTGGCGCTCGTATCTCCGACAGAGTGCACCCCCTCTATTCACTCCCAGCCCTTTCTCAGGGGAGGTGGCTCCCCATCGATGTGCGTGCAATGCCATTAACAATACGCCCAATGCCAAAAACTGGCAAACGCGCCAAATCCATTGTTATTTCGGCGGTCGATTGTTGTTCTTCCGGCTTGCGTGAGCTTACTGGGGCCGCGCCCCCACTCCAGTCACGCCCCCTGCTAGGCAAATTGTGCAAACAAACAGAGGATGTTTCGGCGAAAGGATGCTGCCCCGCTCCTTTCCATCCGAAACTTGCGCCACAAATCGCTTCAATTTCTGGGCTCTGCCTCGGATCCACTCTCTGCCAGAGTTTGGAGGATAATTTTGTTTGGGCTTTGGGGGGGAAATTGGGGGTAACTCGGCCTCGGTTTTGTTTTTTCAGCTCGGTTTGTTCTCAACTGCAATAATCTTATTAGCAGTTTGTTGTTCGAACCTAATCAATTACCAACGTAATTACAAACTTTGCTAATCTGCCTCGGTCTCCCCCGACAGCGCTACCCAAAAACCAAAAGAGGCGGAGACCCGGGCCCAGGCAGTATAGGGATAGTAGTGCCACAGAATATTGTTCGTGTTCATGTCCATGTCCGTGTCCGTGTCCGTGTTCATGTCCATGTCCCGATTGGGATACACACAACATGCTCTCACACGCTGCGGCTGGAGCCTGGAGGCTAGAGGCTGGAGGCTGGAGGGGGAACAACGCGTTTCGTTGTCGCTGATGCGGCTCGGCTCAAATTTAGTGGCCTAAATAGCGATTTGGTCAGTGGAGCATGACAAAAGATCTCATCAAATGTTGGGAATTGTTGAGGTATTCTGGCGGTGGGATGTTGGCAGTGAAAGGAAGCAAAGGGAGTTGTCAGATGAAATGGATACTAAGAGGATTGAATTATCCATGAACACAAAGAGTTTGGACACGCATTGAATAGATAGACAGGTAGAGGGATAGATTTTGGAAACTTTTGGTCTTAATTCAGTCTCGATGGAGTTTGAAATGTTTCAGATTGTAACAGACCCGAGCTTGGTTATAATTATGGAGAATTTATCAAGGAACTGTGAACTATCCAAGAAATGGAAACATCTTCCAAATTGTTGGGTCACTCTTTGCAGCTCTATATATGAAAGAATCAACATACGGTCTCAAGTCATTCTTCCTACAAATTCTGCAAATTCTCCGACTCAAAGCTTAGTTAGAGCCCTGTATCCTTTTCAATACATAGATTTTCTTTCCTCAATCTTCTCACATTGATGCTCATTACTTAGTTTATTCCGAAACGAAACTTCTATGAGGCTCAACATCCATATCAATCCCCACACAACTCTGAGTATGAATGAATCATCCATTTGGTTTTCCCAAGTGATTGCCACCCATCTGGAATGCTACCTGGTTTTCAATGAGCCGCCGCTTATCCCTAGCCAACAATCAATGTGAGCCCTACCCCTACTCTCCTCGCCATTGTGGCTGTGTGGTTATCTATTGAAGCATTTGTTGGGAATGCCAAAAACTTTTTGGCTTAATCAAATGCCAAAATATTTGAATATGCCAAGACAAAATTATTGCCGTGTAAGCTTGCCATTGGATTTCCCCAAGCCATTTTGCCATTGCCGTTGCCATTGCCTTTTGCTGTCGACGGCAGCAGAGGAGCAAAAACTTTTCCACGCATGATTTAAATGGGGGAATAAATCTTGCGTTAAGACTCGACTTGGATTTGGATTATGCAATGCCTGCAAGGGGCAGGGCAGGCAGTAGTGGGGGAGGGGGTGGGAGACCGGAACGAACTTGCTGCGTCACGTAGTTGCTAAATTTGTTTACACGTCCTGCCCGGGCATCCAACAGACTTCGCCACCCATGCAGCTTGCCACATGCCGCACCAGCACCCCACCGCCTCCTCCACAATTGGCATAAAGTTTCTCATATGCAAATCGCAAGTTTAGCAAAATATTTCGTTTATTGTTGAAGTTTTCTTTAGTTACTCTTCTCGTCGCTCTCGTCAACATTCCCTGTATGTTTTTGTTGGCTCTTATTTTATTTTCGCTTTTGCGACTTCACTGAGCAACTTTTTGCCCAACAAACTTTTTGGCGCAAGACATTTTTTGATAAATTATCCCGACCGTCAGTCAGTCAGTGCGTGGAGGGACGGGGCGGGGGCGCGAACATGTAAGTTTATCCAAGAAAAACGCAATCGTTTCTTGCTTTTTTTATATAAAAATCATGACACCTTTTATTGATTTACTTATTCTGTTTGGATGCTTGTGTGTGTTGAGTGTGTATGTTTGTGAGTGTGTACCATATACACTGTATATTAAATGTACAATATACATATAATCACCCTCGCTTAACTAACTGAACTGCCTTTTATCACTAGTATTACGTTCTCGCTATTTTCTTGACTCAATATCGCATCAGCAAACATTCTCTGCCCACCAAAGTAGAAGAACTATATTCCTTCTGCTTTCATATCAAATGCGCCTTTGTGTTTTTTTTTGTTTTTGGGGGGGTTCGAATTTCGCTTAACATCTAGTCAGAACACACAGCCTTGCTTTGTTTCTCTAAAAAATTACACTTAGCTTAGGCTAATTATTAATTACACATTTAATTACAAACACACAGAACATGGTTTCCTTTCCTTTCATTTCTTATCTTGAGCCTAAGCCTAGGGTGAATAAAAAATGTCTGCGATGAAATTAATTTTAATTTAAAGCCACATCCAGATAGTTCGTATAAATGCACACCGCCCTCTGACAAAGCCTTAATAGTACTCGTACATAAATCTATTAACAGAATTTAGTTCAAATAAGTGGTCGCCTAATCTCTCCGTCTGATTTGTCAATGCTTTTTGTTCAACTACAATTAAGGAAATGAATTGGACAACAAATCAGGACAAAACTGAAGGTTTTCTTTGTGCTTAATTTTATTTTTAATTAACTTTATAAAATGGGTTTGCTTTACAAGCATACTCATAAAATGGCAGCTTTCTATCATACAATATTTAGGTTTCTTCTTCCTCGTTTACCAATTTTTTTACAGAGTTTCTCATTTTGGTTTCTTGTGTACAGCATGTACAGGTTTTTTCGATTTACAGTTCTGGCCAAATACAGAAATCGGGTAGGATAGGATAGGTAGCCTCTTCACGTTTCAGAGACGTTTTAAGCGCAGAATATTTACAATTTTTGGGCACCTATGCGTGGATATAAAAACGATTTGCATACATCTAAAAAGACAGGGGGAGCGTATTAGAGTTAGATATGTATAGAAAGATTCGTTAAGGACTCACCTTTTCAACTGTCGTGCAGCAACAACTACCACATGACTTTGCCTCCTCTCCAAAAATAAATAAATATTGAAAACTACCAGAATTTACATGGCATCTGTGGGAAATAGAAATGAAACAATGATTAGTATTAGAAGGAAAATTTACATTTGAACGTATTTAAAAATGTGTAACAGAGACAAACCATCAGCAGAGTTTACTAAAATTGTAATAAAAAAGAAGAGGAAATAATATTTGCCCCTAGGTCCCTTCCAGGTTACATTTTTGGAGGAAACTAAAAGCAAAAACCACGGAACAGACCTTTAGGTTGGAAATTCTACTTAAATTAAAAACAAAAAGATTAAAATACAGTAAAGCTTTTTTTTTTTGATTTTTTCTTGTGCATTTGAAACAGAGAACAAAACTTTATTTAGATATGTATGCAGGTGTGTGTGGGTTTTGTGTTTACATATGTGTGTGTGATATAGTGTTTGGGTGTGTATGATATTTTACATAAACAAAAGTATGGTATGCTACATTATGCACTAGTATACTCCAAAGATGTGCACAAAGAAACAGAAAGCAAGAAGGAATAACTTGAACTTGTAACTAAAACAGAAAGTTTACATGAAATATGATGTACTATATTTATATATGGTGTTTCTGTGTGTAATACCAGAGATGCTGCTGAGAAAGAAAAAAAGAGTAAAAGGAAAATCAAAAGTAAAAATATAAACTCCATGAATGGTACTTCAACATTGACTATAACAAAACTTCCTTCTTTTTGTTGTTTTTTTCTTTTGGATTTCATTTGGTTTTTATCGCATTTTTAACACTCAGAAGCGTACGTGGTTGTGGTTGAGATTAATTATAATAATAGGAAGTAGTAATATTAAATGAGGTTAACAAAAACATTTGCTTCTTTCAGTACAAATAAAAAGTGAGTAACAAATCAGAGAACTAAAAACTAACTATACGCGGCAGCATATAGATATGTGTATATATATAATCCATTGAACAAAACAAGTAACTTGTAACTACAGCTAGTATATATACCATCTTTAGTATATATATTTTATGTTAAAGAACTTCATTGCGACTTGAAACATGAGCGATGAACAAATCAAACAGATAGTAAACTGCATATTATATATATATAAAATTATCGTATCGGAAATATCAAAATAACTTACAAACTAATACTCTGAACAGATCTTGTGTGTTTTTTTTTTGTATTTTTTTGTTTTTTTTTTTTTGTCATGAAAATGTGTACAAAATATTTAATTTAAAAAAAGTGTTGGTTTAACCAGCTCGTACGACAGTTTAAAAAAAATAGAAAAAAGAGTCGTAAAAGATGGGTGTGGGGGGGTGTGGGGGGTGTGCGGGGAAGAGAGTACTTCAACAAAAAAGTAAACTAAACTACGGACTAATAGTTATATATATATTCTTGGTTTTCTTTCAGTTTTTTTGATTTTTTGTTTGTTTTTCGTTTCTACTTCAAACATTTAACGTGCTTATTTATACACAAGTGTTGCTGTCTCTATTTGGCACGGATTTCATGTCTTTTTTTGTTTGTTTGTTTGTTTGTGATTTCTTTTCATATACGTACAACGTTGGCATTTGCATCTTTTCGGTATACTTTTGCGTTGATGCGCGCGCTCTACACGGGCAACTCTCATTCAGTGACCACTCCATTCGACAAATCTTTGTATTTCTTTCTTCTTTTCCGTTTTTTTTTTTTCTCTTCTTTCTGTTTACTTCTATGATGTTGACTACTCCGTTGATCCGTCTCCTGTCTAGTAGGGCTTGGAGGCATCCTTGGGCTTCTTGAGCTGCACCTTCAAGCGCTTTGTGCCCACCTGGAAGCCGTTCATGGCCTTGATGGCCACCTGGGCCGAGTCCGGATTATCGAACGAGACGAAGCCGAAGCACTTCGATAGACTGGTCTGCTTATCGATGAACACCTTGGCCGATATGACATTGCCGAAGGGCAGGAATGTCGAGGCCAGATCCGTGTCGGTGAACTCCTGCGGCAAATGGTAAATGAATAAGTTGCATCCCTCTGGTCCTTTAAACGAAAAAAAAGAACAATGAATAATGAAGACTAGTTTTATGGTTGAATATTTATTTTGATAGAATTATAACTAGAATTCATTCATTCTGTTCTACAGAACAGACTTCCAATAGAGACAATTTTTGTTAGCTTCTCTGCCATTCTCTAATTAGTTGACATTTTTGCAGCTTCTGTTGCAGCTTGCAGTTGGGCAGGCAACTAATTAACGAAATCAGATGCCCATTAGGACCTCAAACTAGAGACTGAATGTCGAGCAGACAAAAGCTGAAATTACATACATGTATGGGTGCAGTGCAGTGCAGTGGAGGAGTGGAGGAGTGAAGGAGTGCAGGAGCAGCAGCTGATTGCCGAAACGGATGCGGAAATGATGCGTCCAACTCATAACAATACGTGCGAGAGGGCTTTACCTCTCCCTCTCTCCCTCTCTCTATCTCTCTGCCACTCTCTTGTGCCTCTGTCTCTTTCTGTCAACTGTCTATCTACGTGTGTGGGTGTGACATTTTGTTTAGCAGCACGTGCCGCCTCGGCTCGACTAACGGCATCATCATGATCATCATCATCATCGTTGTTGCTGTCACTCTTCCGCTCTCCCACGCTGCTGCTAACCCACTCTCCCGCTCTTCCGCTCTCCCACTCTGCTGCTCACCCGCTTTCCTGCTTCTGCTGCTGCTGCTGCTGCTGCTCTGCCCCTCTTCCGCTCTCCCGCTCTGCTGCTCTGCTGCTGCTCTGTCATGGCATGTCGGCGTCGCATATTAACGGGACTCGCGCCTCGTGCTGCGGTTGCACTTTTTGTGCAAATTACTGTCAACGTCAGTAGTCAGTAGCCAGCCATGAGGCATTCAGCAGTCAGCAGTAATACAACCCATCCCAGCCAGAGTAGAGCAGTTGCATAGATACAGACAGACAGACGAACAGACGGACGGACAGACGGACGGACAGACGGACGGACAGACGGACGGACAGACGGACGGACAGACGGACGGACAGAAAGGGATAGCTAGCCAAGCAGAAAGCGAGAAGGCGAGAAAGCAGCGGCGTCAGCAGTCGCGTTTTCACTTTTCGTGATGCTTTTTAATGACACAGAAAACGCTTCCAATGGCAGTCCAACAGTCGACATACAGTGCGGTTTTTCAATTTTATCAGGCAGAAACACACAAAAAACAACAAGGGTATGGCAACCTCATGGTACAGGGGGTTTGTGAAACATCCAAGGCAAATACCATCCCACCTGAAGCGAAGACTCAAGCGAATGACAGCAGAAATCACACTTGACCCTGGGCTTAGAGAACTGTGGATGCCACAGAGATATCATCATTTTTAGACGGAATTTGGCTGCAGAAAAGTCTTTCCTCAGAGAACTCTCCTGGCACTGACAATATTCCCTTTGAAATTTATGCTGCCTTGTGCAGAGCAACGTTATCATTAATCCATAATGAAAATGGTAACAATTACAATGCATTGCAGACCGCAGAGCCCACACCCATACCCACACCCACCCCCCATACGAGGCACAGGCAGTAATCAGATATGATTGTAGTTGCTGCACTCAAACCCTTCTACTCTCCCGAGCCTAGGGGCTGCTGGCAACGGCAACTCCATCATCGTTTGCCAGAAGCGCTATTGATCACATTGATATATGGCTTTGTCCTGCCCCAGTCCCTGCTCCAGTCCCTGGCCCTGCCCGTGTCCCTGCCTACCGCCTGTTGCAATCCTGAAGCTGAGGCCTCCTTTGCACTCCTCTCACAAGGTAAACTGACTGCTGACAGATTGCCTGACGCTGATGCGATTACAAATTGAATGGCGAAGAAAGCCGCTCCGCTCCGCTCCGCCCCTCTCCTTGGGCTCCTTAGGCCTCCAGGGGAGGTGGCGACTGATGTCTCGTTGACGTAGCCAGGATTTTAATATTAATTGACTTATGGACGCTGTTCCTGTTGCCGTTGCTGTTGCCTTTGTTGCGACTTGCTGTCGCTGTGCCGCTTTGCCGCTCTGTAATTTTGCACACCTATCAATTAATTTAGGCTCTGACGACACACGCGTGTGCCCTGCAGAAAGTCCAATTAAAAATGCTTCTAGCTATTGAATTACGCGACTAACAAGCGACACGTGTGGCTCAAATGATATATAATTAGATGAAAGAGAGCGAATGATGTACGGAGGCAAGCAACAGCAGGGGGCAAGCTGGCTGCCAAGGCAACAAATGAAAGGCAGCGACCCTCAAAGAGAGATTCAAAGAAACGAATCTGAATAGGGGGTGTAAATATGAATATCTTTAAATATTAAAGTCAGTTATGTGTAAAAGTTACACTCTTCCAAGTGCCAAAGTAATCACCGAAAGTGCCGGGGATTATACGAAGAGAAGTTCTTGGGGAAACTATAGTTGTGGGACTACCATCTATAAGTTTATTTAAAATGTTTTCCTACAACACAAATATGTGCAACTGTTGTGGTGGTGGCATTCACCCTTTCCTCCCTCCTCCCTTATCCCGCCGCCCGCCTGTCACACACTCACAAATAAACTTCCTGTTTTGTTTTCCATTTGTTGGCATTTTTGTGTGTGCGAAAAGCGATTTCCTATATTGCATTTTCCTTTTCCGTTCACCAAAGATGCGCCATCCGCCTTGGCAATGTCGTTCGTCGTCCGTCGCCTGCCCGCCCCATCCTATTGATGCACGCAGTTACAGATACAGATGCAGCGAGGAGGAGATATGTATATGTCTATGTACGAGTGCAAGATATTTTTTCGCCATTTTCTTGGCTGTCGCGCACACTGCCCCAGGAGCCGGGGAGCCGAGGAGGAGTGTCTGCGCCTCTCAAGGGCATAACCGAAGCGAAGCCAAATGGAATCTGTGGCATATAAGCCACAGTTCCAGTTACTGCACTCGCATTCGCCCTCGTATTCTTTATTGATTTTAATGCGACCTCATCTGTGACTTTACACTGGGAGAAATCAATGGTAACTATTTAATGAACTAAATAAAAGATGGGGAAAGAATTGTAAGTGCTGGAGCACCTCTAAAGTTTCAGTATAGCAGAACTTATTTCGTTTTTGATTTCTCGGGACCGACTTCTACACTGACTATGTATTTTCCTTTTCTGCGCCTCGTCAAAGACAGTGTCTGATGAGGGATAAAAGAGAATTGAAGCATCGAAGGAGTATCTCGAGTATCTTGGTATTTTATAGTCTCTATAGTTTCTCGCAGTGCATTCTTCTGGCTCCTTATAATCACTCACTGGCAGTCGTAGGTCACCTCGTTCCATAGTCTCCACCCATCAACATACAGCAAACAGCATAAATCGCAAATCTTTCGACTTCCTATGCCGTCTGACAATCTCCACTCTTTCTCTCACTCTCTCCCTCTCTCGGGGGTCCTCTTCCTCTCACTAGGTTATTTTATATTCCAACTTCCGGCTTATGCACATGACTTTAATCCGGAAGGCTGTATCCGGAAGGAGAGCAGAGGAGAGCAGAGAAGACGGCCGCTGCCGCTGCCGCCTTAGGGTCACCCAGCCATGCCATGCCATGGGATTCCCATCGTCTGTCACTGTCATATTTGTTGCCGCCTTCCTTCCGTATCCGTCTCCTCCAACCGCATCCTTCCACTGCTCCTCCATCTCCTCCCCCTCTAGATTGTGCTCCCTTAAAGCCCTCTATTTATTTACTGCACATAGTTCTAGGGGCGCCATTTAGTAATATTTTTTTTTTCTCCTGCTGCAGCTCTTGCCCGGCTTCCTGCTTAATTTTGCGCCTGTCGTCTGGGCCTGTCTACATGCTTATAAGTTGTTTCCTGCCCTTTTTATGCACCCACTCTCCACATCCTCCCTATAGTAAAAATCCTACATCTCCTTCTGCCTGCTGCCTCTTGTTGTGCGCTGCATGTCGCCATTTGATAAATTTCACATGTTGGGAATTTATCGGGCCCTACGCCCCACTCCCCCCACCATTGTTGCTGCAGTTTTTCTCTCTAGCTTCGAGTTTTCCTCCACGCAGATTGCACAAATCTGACATTTTTAAGATTTTCTCAAGCATATTTTCTCGCTTTTGCCTAGAGTTCGATTTGATGCTGGCATAAAGGGAAAATTGTTGGATAAAAAAAAGGGAAATCGGAAAGGAAAATGAGGAAAAAAGAAGCATTGTTGTGGAGTAAAAAGGGATATTTAAGCTGCTTAGAAAGAGAGAAAATATCATCTAACAAATTGCATGCGAAAAAGATACATAATATGTACAGATTATCTAATCTTTCGAGATAGTATTAAAAGTTGACTTTGCTGTAGGGAAAACGGATTATAAGAATGATTATTCATAGCATAATTATGTTTCTTCTTACGAAGATTACAGCGTATGAGGTTACAATACATTGAATCTACTCGTCATATATGCAAAGTATCGGGTATCATAGTGTCGCACTACGTGTGCCTCTACTCAAAGGCTTTCCGTCTAGCTTTCCCTGCCATTAAGCTAAAGGGATTCCCCAAATTAAAGACTTGAATTCACAGAATTCTTTCAAAGTTCCAGTGACCCCGTAAAATGTGAAGTCAAATGTAAAATATCCCCCCAATCATTCTGCCCAGCCGCCCCTCTAATTATGGCTCCACTTTCCACTAACTCCTTGATCCTCCTCTAAGACTTCCATATGAGCAAGTCCAAGTCATCTATGATAGTTTTTCAAAATCTAACCAACCGAAGGAAACATGGCAGCTCACATTTCGCATAGCATAGCATGAGCAATTTGTTTTGGTTCCCGAGACCAAGACCAAGACCGAGACGCAGACGGAGACTGAGAGGGGGACTGGTACCCACCCACACACTGACAATCCAATCCCGGTAGTATCCAGCCCTCCCCCTAACCCATTACATCCTTCCATGACTTGTAGTTGTTCGGTCACGAGGGGATTTTCGGCGATGTCATGAGTCACAGCAGGGCAGAGCAGAGCAGGAGAGGAGCGGTGCAGCACAAAAGGCGGAGGAGGATAGTGAGAGTCGGAGAACCAGAAGTCAGTCAACTGCAAAAATATATCTCACTATATGGTGTACAAACAAATACATACACATATACATATGTACATATATGTCTATCTGTCTGGTCTGTCTGTCTGTCTGTGTGAAAGGTTGGGATGTTTGCTTATGTAACCGGAAATATAGCAGAAAAAAAGTGCAATGCCAAAACATTTTCCGTTGCATTTTCCTCCACTCCTTCACACACACACACACACACGAGAGTGTCCTGCTGCTGCAACTTTAATGTTATGTGTGCCAAAGCACTCATACATCTGGAGAGAGCGAAGGATGTGCTCCTCCTGTGCAATATTTTCCCCGATATCAGCATCGACATCGACATCGATGTCTGACTAATGGAATTGTGTGTCAAGTGTGTGTAATATTTACACTGTGTCAAAAGCTGATAAAAATTTAAGCTCCACCAAAATGCTCCTCATAAATTCTACTCCTTAGCTCCCCCCCCGTGTGTGTCCGTGTGTGTGTGTGTGTGTATATATAGATACTGAAGTGGGAAATATACAAGATGATTGATCTTATTGATTTTTCCACATCTTCTACATCTCCGGACAAGCTTCTTGCTGCTTCTTGGCTGGCGCTTATGGCATTGAAGGATTTGTGTCAGCAAAAGGCATTCAATAGGGGGGGAGGAGGGGGAGGGAATGGGATTAGATGGGTGTAAGTGGGATTCAGCAAGTGGATAGAGATAGAAGACGCTGTTGAGGTCACATTTTGATTTGTGGGAGAGAACACATCTTGTAAGACTTATACATTTATCGCATTCTGACAATACAGCCATCCTTGAGCAGACCAGAAGAAGGACTAGTTGGCTGATGGAACAGTCCAGGAAAAGGATTAGCTGGCTGTTGGGAGACAGAAGTTATTTTTTATATGCAAGTTCCATCATTAGTGGAACTATTTCTTTCCCTATCAACACTGCATTTTTACTGCATTCCAAATCCAAGATGCATTTCCCATTTGATAGATGACTCTTTACATAAAAATAAAAGCCTCATCTGCAACCACTACTCCTCCACCAAAGCCAAACTCCTCCTCCTCCAAAGCCAACGGCAGAACAATGGCAGGACTAAAACTAAGTAGATTAGACAGACACATCCACAAAATGTCCATCACAAGTGGGGAACAGATGGGGCAGCACGGGGTGTGGGTGGAGGGAGGGAGCAATGAACAGACAACAGAACAGCAGAAATAAAAAACCACATCACGAACGAATGACGCTGACAGCAATGAGCGGGTTAATGCATTTGATGCTGCATCAGCAGCAGCAGCAAACACTACGGGAATCCAAGTAGAACCGAAGCGGGAATGCCCTTAACATTGACTCGAATGAGAACTTTTCATTTTTCTTTTATACAAACTCTTAAGCAAATGGAAGGAGAATACTGATCTAAAGATATCCCATATCGGTTTTCTGTTAAAAATATAATTCTTCTCCGAATGATGCTTCCCCCACTGCGCATACCCTCTCCCATATCCTTGTTAGGGTATACCATCTGCCAGCTTTATGTAACATTGAAGCGAATGAGCGCAGGGAGCGAATCAGACTGACACAACCGCAGCGGCAGGAGCAGCATCAGCATTCAGGCATTTTGTTACATTTATCAAAATGTCAGCCATTTAGACATTTCTATTCCTCCTGTGTGTGCGGCCACTCCAATCCCACGCACCACCCCACTCCAGTCCCCCCCAAACCCAACCCGATTCCCCTTCATCCCCCTGGCACTCTCACCTTCAATCTGCTTGCCCGCAGCAGCGGCTGCTGCGGCGCTCAGGGCCACACTGGCCAGCGGCGATGTGGACAATGCACTGGCGCTCCCAAATTGCGGCAAGCCGGCGGCTGTTGACATATACGCCGATGCCAATGGATTCGGATCGGACCCTGTGGGATAGATGGACGGATGGAAAGAGAGAAGGTAGATTTTAGTTAGTATCATGATAAAGTAAATTCGTATTTTAGCTGATTTTTTTTTTTTTGTTGTTGTTGTCGAAAATTACATAACGAAATCATAAATGTGGTTTCTGTGGGGTTTTTGTGTGTAAAGAGCTGTAGAGTTGATAGTTTCGCATTCAATAGGGAACTAGTTCACTCTGTGATTGAAGCTAAAACTTTAGAATAGAGAAATAAACATGATTTCTGTCACGTAAGCTGTGCATTCATATATTGAGAGAAGGTGCGAGGTACAGAGAATACAGGAATACAACATTAAATATAATTTCCCGAAAAGCCTTGGGCATCCCCTAGAATTATTTCTAAGACGAAGCTTCTTAACTTGACTTTCACTTAGACTTAAACGCGATTTCTAACAAAATAGAAGAGAAAAAGTGTCACCGTCACCTAAGATATCAACTCACGAAATTTAAGCTGGTATTTAATGTAGATTATTTTGAAACGGGGTAGAAAACATTCGATGGGAGAAGCGACACGACACAAACATGTAGTATATATATAGTTTCATTAGATATAAGTGTTACGATGTTCAATGAGATTGAGGATCTTGTAGAGGATGATTTTGACAGCAAACTACGGCTAACACAGGGAAGATCGATCTTTCGCACACTCGCTTGCCTTAGGGCACAGGCAATTCGGCCTCAGGCCGCTCAAGGTGAATATACTTATGGGGTGGTGTAATCACCATATCTGCTCTCTTTCAAGGACCATCCTTTTGTCAGTATGCATGCAAAAGTGAAGAGTTCTTGTCTCTCTGAGAGTCACGAGAGGGTGGATGGTCCTCACCACAGCGGCGACGTCACTAATTTCACTATGGGACCTGCCCTTAAATTTAGTCTTGATCTAGCACTCAAATCTGGCACATCGCACAACTGATCTTCAATATGACACAGTCTTGAATTAACCCCTTTCGTCTTCAATCTGACCCAGTCTTGAATCGATCAGATGAGTGTCGCTATCGCTATCACATCCGCACACCATTGGCTATCTGTTCTCCTCTGTATCGCCTTATATACCATCCCCGACAATAAACCAGGTCAAGCTGAACAGTCATCGAATTATCAGTAAGTAGATCGCGAACTACGCTGCTGAAAGTAGCTCATTTGGTGGCACAAATCATTGCCTTTTTAGGGTGGAACCTTTACGTGGAACAACTCCAATTTATGGAACCAGTTCGCTTTTGGATTCATTTCTGATGGCAGTCTATAATTATTATTCAGTTGGTTTTCGTTTCGTCAGAACGTAATTAATCATTGAATTTTGCACGCTGCGCGACATGCGGCGACATTTGATTATTTTACAAAACACACACACACACAAACACACACACACACTCGGAAAACACACACAAATCTAAAATTAATTTGTCTCTGTGTGGGTGAGTGTGTGGCTCTTGGGCTTTGGGCTTTGGGTTTTGTGTAATTTGACGCCTGTTGTTTGTTATTTAGTTGTTTTGCGTGTTTCGTTTTGCCATTGGCCGTCATGCAATGCAATTTTGTGGTTTCTCCCTCTCGCATCCTCCGCCATCCTCCTCCATCCTCCTCCAACATTTATGTGTGGCAGGGTATGGCACTCGTATGATCGCTGTTATTAATGAGTTTTGCAAATGGTCGGTCGGTCCTGTTTTCTGTGTGTGTGTGTGTTCTATAATTGGGATATTTCCAGCAATGCGGTCGCCAGCGACTGCGACTGCCACTGCGACGACCCCCGATGTTTTCAATAAACCAAATTGGGCTAATAACGAAAGAGTATTATGACTGCGAGAATACATAGTAGTCCCCAGCAACAAGAGGATAACAAAATGGATTTATTTGCCATCTACAGCATTGGGATGGTGTTCAAAGGTCTGGGGAAAATGGAATGGTAAAAGGGAGCTACCACTGATACTCTAGAAGTCAAGATCAAGCCTTGAAACAGCAACAAAAATCTCGAGTCAATATCCAATTAAATTTCAAGACAATAGTACAATATTTCTGGAATACTTAAAGCTATTTTAAGGGACTATTTTTGAGAAAAATGTGAAATGATAATAAAGATTTCGAGAAACGAGGCTCACGTGCCTCAATACTAAGATACCAGTTATTCTATGGAAAAAAATCAGATGAAGAGTCTCAATAGGATAGGGTTAAAGAGAGACAAAAACAGAGAGACGATGGTGGACTCTCATTGAGCCATGATAGACATTAAAACCCACACCTGTAAAACCCACACCCACACCCAAGAAACAGAGAGAGAGAAAGTGATTTGTGCGACGAAGAGAGACAGTATTTGTATTCTTCATTCTGTTCCAATCGATCTTCTAGTACTTCTTCATTTGAGTACAAATATATTCCAGTTTCCATAAAAAACCCAGAGATTGGAATCAAAACTTTTGCAGAAGAGGTTGGAGTCAAAATTAATTTCAAACTTGGCAACGAAAGACTTTAGATTTCAGAAAGGTGTTGCCCTCAATTCTTTCAACTTTCGATAAGAAATTGTAATTTAACAGAGACCGTACCGTACCGTACCGAAACTTTTGTCTAAGAATTCGAAATGAAAGACAGATGTAGACAAAAAAGAAAGAAAGAAGAAAAAAACAAAAAAACTTTTGCACATATTTGTGCAGAAAATTGTTTTAATTGTTGCTCAAAGTTTTTGGCAATCGAGTGGCAAGAAAAGTCAGTAAGTAAAACTTGAAATATGCCCTGCCATGCCCTGCCCTGCCATGGCCTGGCCTTCGCTCATCAAACAGCAAACAGTAGACCCCACAGCAGACCCGACCAGGCTAACTAAGTTGGCCAATAATAATCCACATGAGTGGCCGAGGCCGGCCTGGAGCCTGAGAGAAACAACAATCAAACAGTCAACAAAAAGAAGATGCTCCAAATAATTGCCTACAACTATTTTCTCCCGGATGTTGTCTGTTTTTGTATTTGCAAGTTTTTAGTTTACTCTTCGAGAAATTTTGTGTTCCGCTCAGAGTCGCTGGAGTGCTGGATTTTACAATTTCCCAGGCACTGGACCCAGGACCCAGGACCTCCTTCTGCTGCTGGCCACTTGCAGGCTATTTGCAGACTTTTTTGTTCAGATTGTTGTTGTTGATGATTTTGAAGTGCAAAAAGGAGAAAAAGTGTATAAACAAACGTAATGGAGAGCTGCCTGAAAAGGAAAGAACGAACGAAAGGAACTGCTGAAAGCCAGCAGCAAAGAAGAAAAAACACAAACGAAGGAGTTCCAAAAAACGTGTTGAAACCTTAAATCAGTTTTTTGGGGGCCACGGCAGTGTTGGTTAGGGTTCGATGTGGCCCCAGGGCTGGTACTGGGATCTGGGTACTGGGATCTGGGTACTGGGTTCTGGGTTCTGGTTGGTAGTATAAACTACACAGTTTACTGCACTTGAACAAAACTTTGATTAAGATTTTCGTTTGTTGGCTGTCGGTCTGGTGTCGGTGGTGCCTGGCTTTTGTTTTGTATTTTTTGTTTTCTGTTGCAGATTGCAACTGAGAGAAAGGTCGAAGTGTGGAGTGGAGTGGAGGCTTCAGAAACTTTTTGAATTGGATGCGCTTCAGCTTCGGGGAGAGATACATAGAGTGGCAGATATATATAGAGAAAAACCAGTCAAATCTGTTGCAGATTTTTGTATTTTTTGTGATGTATTTTTTCCCCCCCTTTTTTCTTGTTAATAAAGGTTAGAGCTGGTTGTCCAGATTTGTTGAGGGCTTGGCTTAAGATAAACAGAGAGAAATCGGTTTTCAAATCTGTAAATGTGGTCTGCATTCAATGCATGGCAGGTGGAAGGAGAGCCAGCAGGGAAATACAAATTAATTGGAATTTTCTAGAGTTGAGAGATACTGGTAAAAAAAAGTGGATGGGGTGATGGGGAATAATACGCAGACATACGAGACAGCGGACGTGCTCGAACTAGCAACAAAATTTGAAATGAGACTGGAGCCAGCTCAAAATCCAGCCTTAGAAAATCGTTACTTATACTCTTAATATTTACATGGAATTTGTTAACACTAGAAGACTGTAACCCCTTGGATCTACTATAAGCATTCAAAATTATTCCATACAATGTTAGGAAACATCCAATTCCAGTTTGAAATCTTTCCCTTGCCTTTTTCCAACACTAATCTCTAGAAATATGCGCTGCTGCATTTCTGGCGCTTCCTCAATTGTTATCTCACTTGCAATTTGTATCGAGGAGCCCGTTTTATCGCCCCCTAAACCCCACAACAATTAGTTTTTCGTTAGTCCTCCAATTCCCAGCCAATACGCTTTCCATAAACAATTTGCAGGCGACCCCAGAAGGGGCGAACGAGCCGAGAGCCAGCTCCATTTGTTTGTCCATTTTATTTGTGGCAGGCAAAGGGCAGAGCGCCCCACACACACACAGTCAGTGCAAAAAGTTGTGTTACTCGTGGCAACAACTTGGAAAGCGATTTTGTAGTTTAGTTTATGTATCCGGCAGCGGGGGAGGGGCCAAGAAAAGGGGAAGGAAAATCCAAAAGGAAGTGGTTTCCATAGAAAAAGCAGGACCCAAAGATAGGCGCATCTCCCTGGCTGTCCTCGCTGTCAGTTGCACTTTGAACCGAGTTTCCATAGAGTCCAGAGTCCAGAGCCCTCCGAATCCTTCGAGCACATCTCCTGGGCAAGAATTTTTAATATTTCATTAAATGAAGTGCCCGGAAATCGTTCAAGTGGCACACGATGAGCACGCACAAGTGCACAAGGGCCAAAGCTCACGGAAAGCCCCCAGTCTCAGTGGCAGTGTCCCCCACCAGAAGATGATAAGCTCCCGGAGAAAGAGAGAGGGAGAGGTGGAGAGAGGGAGAGACCGAGAGAGTGTGGAAGGGAATCCGCTTAATTTTTGGCATTTTTCTGGTTAAGTCAGCCGCAGATTTTCTTTCTTATTTGTCGAGGATTCTTTGCTCCTTTCCTCCTTTCGTTCCGACTAAGAACCTCTCGAAATGAACTTGCTAAGAAAATATTTAAGAAGTGAAAGGGAGATAGTTACCGAGAGGAAAGAGACGGCCAGCGATAGGCAATGACATTTTCCTTTGGGCCTTGGGACTGGACCAACTTTTCGTTTTATTTTTTGTGTCGCCTTGCCGGCAGTTTTTTTTCGTTCGCTTCGTCCTTCTGTCTTTGCCACATTTAAGTGGAATTCCTTGTGGGTTTTTTTGTTTGATAAAATGCAGGCGACAGGCCATAATTCTTTTAGCAACTTATGCTTTTTAAAACTAACCAACGAAACGATAAGTACGAACAGAGGCCTAGAGATGGCCATCAAACGGCCAGGCCATTCGAGTGCTGGATTCATATTGGTCACAAATTTCTTGGGAAAAGTTTTACCTTTGCGTCGAAAATAAGTTAAGATGTCCTTCAGTTAAGAATTCTGGCAAAAAATTCTGCACAAAAGTGAAAACACTTTGATATTCCACTGAAGAGGTAAGTATTTTGTTGTTGGCTTCGGGGGACCGACTCAGCTGTCCAAAGCTTTGACCACCAGACGAAGCCAAAGCAGGTAGCGGGGCCGTAGTCAGAGACGAAGCATAGATAGAGAAGTTGTATAATTTTTGGTGGACTAACTTCGTGAATCGTAGGTCCATCACTCAGCTACCTCCTCCACTTCCAGTACTACTTTTTAGTGCAAAAATGAACCACATTACATCTGTTACTCCAAATATTACTCGTGATTTCTAGGTGTCTTGTTTTATAACCAATCTAAAGGCCATCACGGTGCCATCTTCAACCCGAAACTGCCTTCCCGAGATCTAAGAAATGAAAACTACGAACCAAAAGCTGGTCGTCTTGCAAAAAAAACATTGCACAATTTTCCCCCCAAAGCGAAAAAGTCAATGAGGCCAAGAAGAAACGTTGCAACTGCCTTTCGCTTCGCTAGGGGGCCCCACCCTGGACCCTGGGGACACTGGTTGCCTAGTGCCTCCAGCTGCAATAAGTTCCGTGTTGTTAATTTCGCAAGAGAGTGTAACTTGTAATTTTCGGATGTTGTAGGGTTGCTCCTTTCGTTTGCTTTACGGCCATCAACTCTGGCTCTACGGCTGCACGGTGGCGGGTGACGTAAAACACATCGCGTTACGGGTGCTGCCACGTGAACGTTACGTCGAATGCTTCGTTGACTTTAACTATCAAAGTTAATAACTTATATTTTAACGACAAAATGAAAAGGAAAGCAGTTGATGAAAAACTTTGACAAACTCAGGAAAAACGCAAAACAATTCAAAGAAAAACCCGGAGAAACATAGGAAGGGCGGTCTCTCACCTGACGATGCTGATGACGATGATGATGTCTTGGCGGCGGCCTTCTTTCCCAGGAGGCCTGCACCACCATCCACAATCGACAATTAATCATCGGGTTAGCACACAATTCAAATGGAGAATAAATATAATATTTGTTAGTAAAGGTTAGATATATGGTATATATACACAATCTCCTTAACTAATTACGACGGACACTGACGTCAATCGAATCTGGAAGGGAAGGGAAAGGCAAGGAAAGGAAATTCTCTTTTGCCTATTTTAAGTCGATTTCCTTGGAATTTCCGCTTCAATGAAAATTGACAAGGCCAGGCCTTGATTGTAATTTGCTTTCGGGGGTGGGCAACAGGAAGGTGGAGGAGTGGGGCATGGCAAGGGGGATTGGGGGATTGAAAGGCTTTCACTAATTGGCCACTTTGAATGTCAGCTGATGACACATTTCGTGAGCCAAGAACCAGGAATAGAAAAGCAATTTTCGGTTCGATATTGTGTGGATTTTGTGGATACAATTAGAAAGCAACGTAAATGAAAATTGATTTTGAAATGATTGGGTATCTGATTGGGAAAAAAGCAATAAACTCTCCTTATATCCGTGTGGCCATTTGACCCCCCCATTAAAGCCCCAACGATAATGTTTGAGTGGCCACAAGATAATTACAAATCGATAAAAAGAAAGACATAATAACTAAAGCCCAGAGAAAGTGGAAAGCAACAGGCGTGGGACGCAAAAAAAGAGGGAAAAAACTTCAATACGGAAATGAGAGAAAAATTAGATAATTAGCTCAAGTTAGCAGAGAGCCATGGGTGGGATAGGGACGGGGCTAGGATGGATGAATGGCACATGTGGCATGTGGCACGAGCCTGATGAATTATTAACTCTGGCCACACACGCAGCGGGAGAAGAGCTGCTTCCAGCTAATGAGCGGATTCCTTCGGCAGAAATACAGCAGGAAGCCGAAGCGTTTGATACTCTCTCTTCAGAGGGTCCAAGGGCTACCCCAAAACTTACAAAGCAACGCCGCTGTATTCTGCAGTTGGGCACTGCCCGGCGATGAGGCAGCGGCAGCGGCTGCTGCGGCATTCGTCAGACTCGGCTGCGTCATGGCCGCAATGGCGGCCAGATTCTGCACAGTCATCGGAGTCAGGAGTCCGGCGGCGGCGGCAGCAGCGGCACTGTCCTGATTTGCATTGTTTTGCTGGGCATTCAGTCCGGTGAGGGCTGGTCAATGGAAATAAGGGATATAGCTAGAGATTCGTCCTAAGACAGGGGTATGCCACTTCCTACCTTGCAGCAACTGCTGCTGCAGGCCCACGGCCTGCAACTGTTGCAGCAATTGTATGGAGGCCGGTGTCAGTGCATCGGCGCCCAGAACGGGCGACTGCTGCTGCGGTGGGTTCGGCAGTATCGGTGTGGACACACTCTGGGCCGTCTGTCCCAAGGGGATGTTGATATTGCTGGCCAGGTTCCAGAGATTCGCCTGGATCTGCTGGATCTTCTTTTGTTCCTTTTCCTTTTGGGTGTCGGCAAACTTGACGACCAGCGGCGATGTGCAGCCCTCCATGATTTTGTTTTGGCTTAGGGTCTGGAAATAGACGTAACATTTAGGTTGATTTTGAGGGGGTTTAGTACTTCAAGTACTTACCACTTTAATGGCCGAAATGGCGGCGTGCTTGGTGGCGAATGTGACAAAGGCACAACCCTTGCTCTGGCCGTTCTGATCTCTCAATACAGTGCACTCCTCAATGTTGCCGTGGACTTCGAATAGTTTACGCACGTCGTTCTCGTTCAGCTTCTTGTTTAGCATGCCCACAAACAGTTTGCGTTCTGCAAAGAGACAAAGACAAGAGATGTTGTAATCTGTATTGCAAGCTTGTAGGCCTTGGCCTTGGTAAGTTAATCGCAGCGTGAAAAACTCTGGGCGGAAGCCTCAACCGCATCAAAAAAAGGTAATCCAATAACCAGGCTCACCTTGCCACACGGCCACACTCAAGTGGGTTAGGGCCAGGCCAAGGGGTCTGGGTATTGGGTTCGGTCTGGGGTCTGGGGTCTGGGGTCTGGGTCTAGGTCTATGTCTGGGGCTCCTCTGGGTTGCTCTGTGCTCAGCCAGGCTTAGTTAATTTGACCATTTTCAATGCTCAATTAATTTTACATAAATTAAAACTCTCTCTCCCCCGCCATGGAATGCACTAGACTGGTCTGGTCTGGTCTGGTCTGGCCTGTACTCGATAACTAATTGGCAGGCATTTAACATTTCGCCAAATATTTGCACTTTCCCTCCCCCTCCTCACCTAGAAAAGGGCTCTCCCCGAGGGCGGGGCGGAGGGAGACGGGGGTCCTACTAATTTATTTGCACAAACACGCAAAATGCGCACTGCACAAATTAATTGTTATCGAATGTGCAATTGGTTGAGAATGTTTTTTCGGGAGGGGGGTGCGGTAGGACAGTTGTTTTGTGCGGGTGGATCGTCGGATTTGGTTTGGTTTTGGGGTTCGGCTCGGTTGAATGGGTTTTTCTATCTTTCTATCTTTTAACTAAAACTAAATTGGAAATCAATTGGCTTAAACACATTTTAAAGTGCCACCGATTACAGTAGGGATTAAAATTGTGCACAAAATTGAATAAATATCACACAAAAACACATTTTAAATGCATTTCGCAAGTCCATTTGCAAGTGCATTTTTTTGCAGGAATATTTCATATAGAAATGAAGGGAAATATTAGACCGGCTTAATGAATGATTTTCCATAATAATTTCCATCAATAAATGACAAAATCTGGTATCGGTACATTATTCTCGGGGGTTTTGGGTTCCCTTTTGGCTGTGCTACGCGATTATTCTCAATGTGTGATCTTCTGCTGGCTGTGTGTATACTCTTTTATTACGACTTTGCGCCTTTTCTTTGTCATGATGAAATTGAACATCTCAAAGGTATAATTTCATCATGTTGGCGTGAGAGAAATACTCGCTTAACAAAAAAAAACAAACAAATTCACCTGCTAATGGCCCCTGCTTTAGATTCTAGAAGCGAAGAAGCGATATCTCTGCCTAGCGCTTGTCTCTCTGAGAGCCGAGCGAGAGAGCGAGTCACCTGATTAGCACATTCGAACGTCGGCTTCGCTGCAGCCGAGTGCGAGAGAGAGAGACAGAGGTAAATGTGTGCCTGCTGTGGGCCTTTGCCTATTTTATTGCTGCGCTCGTTTTGGTGAGAGAGTGCAAGACCCTCCCCTCTCAGAGAGGATCATGGCAGCGAAAACGTGCGTGAACGTGCGTGTAGTCTGCTGGGTGTTGTTCTGTAGTGAGAGTGAGAGGGAAATGCAAACATTTTGCAAAGGCAGAGCTTGGAAGTCGTTGTACCGTTTTGACCTTGAAAAAACATTCCACCCAGCAAACACCAAGGAAGCTATTATTTTCGTGGCTTCTGCAAGAGGGAACCAACCAAATTGAATTATTATTTATTAACAAATATTAATAAAAACCCGAAATATGTTTGGTGGAATTCATTGGATAAATTCAATCCTGCTATAAAATTATGGCCCCATCTCACATCTGGCTCTCTTTCTCTCTCTTAGATAAGCTTTCCAATTAATTTTTGGCGGTAATTTCTACTGCGATGGCAATATTTTGGGCAATATCAACCGGAAAATCGCATAAAACTGCATTGTTCGAAATTATTATTATTTTATCGCTCCAATAAACGTGACAATTTTCAGCCCATGCTAAAATGATGTTCAGTAACCTTTGCCCTGGACCCCCAGCCTCCCCACAGGGAAGAGTTCGTTCGGGGTTCATTTATGGCGGAGGGAAATCTGTTTTTGGAAATCAATTAAAATTATAATTAAGCTGCTTATGGGATAAAAATTGATTTTTAGTAGCCAGTTTTTGGTCATTGACTCGATGCGGGAATGTCGACGATGATTTTAAATTTATAATTTTTGCCGCTTTAAAATAAACGAAACGATGATTCGAGGAATGGTTTTTATATTCCCAGAGTAACCACAAGAAATGTTAAAATTCAGCTTAATGGGTTGCAGGAGGGGATTCCTAATGATGCCCCCCCTATCCTCTATCCACTATCCACTACACACTATCGCCCTCTCTGCACACCACTTGCCACATATTCAAGCATCAATGTGCTGCAATGCGGCGGTGGCTCCCATTCAAGCAAGCACCCTCCGCGCTATCCAATTGCCATTCCGAGTGCTACTCTGCTTGCTGCTGGCTGCTGGCTGTTGGCTGCTGCTGCATCATCATCCTGGAGCGTTCTCAAATGCAAAACCGACGCCTGCAGTGGCGCCACAGTCCACAAAGAAGAAGCATCCCAGGGCCACGAGCAGCACAGATATTATTATTATGATTATCGCAAACTGCAACGGGAACAGCAAAGGCAACGCCAACGACATCAACTAACTGCACTTGAGCTATATTATCATAATCCCCGCAGCAGGCAGCAGCAGCCCCCAGCAGCCCCCAGCAGCAGTCGCATCAGCCATTCGAGTTCCAGCCCCAGTCCCAGTCCCTCTCCCTCACTCCCTCGATGATGCCCTTCTCCACAGAAAGGGAATTTTAAAATTCATTGAATTCGATGCTGCTGCTGCTGCTGGGTTGCGGTGGCTGCATGCCAATACTTGCGACCGTTTCGAAACCCTCTCCATACTCGTATCCATTCGAAAAAAGAGAAAAATGTAATGATGATGGCAGTAGCACAAATGGAACCTCAAAGTAAGGAAAACAAACAGCAGGAATTTTCCCCACTGACTGCGGACTGTGGACGTGTCTTTGTGGCTCTGTGGTGACCTCATCATCAGTGCCGATCATTCACTAATTGAGAAGAATTGTCATGAAGAAAGAATGTCGTGTATCTTAATTGGATGAAATAGTGAAAGTACTAGGATGGCACAAATGGGTCATATTTATGAGGATTTTTAGCTATTTAGGAGGAGGGACTTATATAGAGAAGAGAGAGTTAACCTGGCTTTCAATACTTTTAATGCTAGAACAGCGGAGCTTTGGGGTTCATAGTTTTAGGATCATATGGAGATCAAGTATACAGAAACTGAGTATCGGGTATTATATAATATATTATATTATAGGATAAGGACCCAGAGCTTTGCTAATATTAGGCCAATATGGTATTGGCTTTAAGGGTAATTTTGCACCAATTTGTTCAGCTTTTTCCCCATATTTAAGACCCATGTACAATCTTCTGCTCCTCCACTATGTGTTAGCCCATAAGGAATTTCTTTCCTAAATTTCTTTCAAAAGAATAGCGCCTTTTTATTTAGCTAGATCCAGTTCCTTTGCAAATCTTGAGCGCCATTCAATTTAAAGTTTAATTCCTCCACCAAGGCAGGGGGGCGGGGAAAACTTTGCCTTTAACTCTGGAGCTTTAGTTTTAAATTATTAATATTGCCAAGCGCCGAGTCGGGTCCAGTCCCAGCCGTAGTAGTAGCTCTTTCTCTTACTCTCCCTCTGCCGCTCCCCCATTCATCCACTGGGTTTCCAAGAGGTAGCCCAGTCGAGCCACAGGACGCAGGATGGCTGGATGTTGGCTGGAGGAGTCACTGAGCCGGCTTCGGGGAAGGTAATGCAACTAATCTGCTTCTAGTGGCGCACATTAAGTGTTGCCACGCTTTCGACTTTAATTTGAAAACATAAAGCAGCCAAAGAGGGTTGCACGGAGAAGCGACTAAAGTGCGGGCCACTTCTGCAACCTACATCCCACACACACCCACACACACACACACACACACACACACACACACACACACACACATTCACGACTCTTTTTTTTCTTCTTTTTGCTGGCCATTTTTGCATGCAACTCAACTTAACCGAGCGGCCAGGAGGCCACTCCAACCCCAGGAACCAGGACTAGGACCAGAACCAGGAGCTGGACCAGAAGAAGGACCCCAAACCGTAAACAAATGCAGAGCGAACGAGCCATGACATCGACGTCGTCACAACGTTCGCTCCTCACTCATCCTTGCTTTTCCATGCTTTCGGATTCTGTATGAAATGAGCGGGTTATGTGACAGAGAGAGAGAGAGAATGAACGACTAGGGGAATACCTAAGTCTAAAAAAGGGCATTTAGTGGAAAAAGTCAAGTGCAGCTGATTAAATTGACTGCAGAGAAGTCTATTACTTATATATTTTTTTAATTTTCAACTTTTTCCAGAAAATAAATTTATGAAAATATTTAAAATATTTTCGAGTCTTTGTTCTGTTTAAAAACAATCCCAATTTAAGGCACTCTAGTAGAGGAAGCCTGTAGAACATGAGCAATCAATTTTAACTCTCTCTCACACAGAGTGGCTTAGCAGTGAAGGGCCACTTGTGGAAATTGAAACAGAAAATTAAAAAAAAAAAATAATCCACTTTTATGTCATAAAGAGGAGACATTCAAATCGTTAGCCACATTTAATAAGTATTAATATTTAATGTATTCTATATTTTTTTCATATTTATTGCCATTAATATTGCAATGATTCCCTAGTCGGTCATGCCCCTTTTTCCTTTCCCAAGTTTCACAAAAAAAATATTAAATAACAGGCAGAGCAAAGCGCATTAAAACGGGTCATATTTGCCGCCACTCCATCCGGGTGTACCGTAGCCCCTCTTCCCTTTTCCCCCTTCCGCTGGCTCCCCTCTCCCACTTGGCTTAGCTTATTTATGTCACAAATATGAGCAGGCGCGTACGCAATGCCACGGCTGGATGGACTTGCCTTGGTTGGCTGGCCTCTCCCTGCCCCCTCCGTGCCCCTCCCCCTCTCTCTGTCTCTGCCACCTAATCACTCCTCCACCTGGCTGCCCTCGGCCGCTGT